TAAAGCCCAACTTTTAGTACAAAGACGGGAAAAAAAAAAAAAATTGACAGAATGACACTGTCAGATGCTCTCTCTTCCCACCTCTCCCTTTTCCTCCCCTTCCAGTGATCTCACTGATGTTATTACATGCTGCACAACCAAGGCTATGGAATAGACTTAATCAAGCAACCGAGTGGTCATTTGAAACTTCATCTCTCACTGCATATTTCTTCTCATCTCACAACATACTGTGGTGCTTCAATTCAAATACATGACTTAAAACAGAGGCTTTTATCACAGATTTCTCGTCTTTGAATTTAATAAAAGCACATCATTCCATGGCCTCTTTGATGCCACACACTCCAACTTACTAAGAGCTTAAAGAGAGACTTTCTCTTGGATGTACAAAGACCCTTCTCAGTCATCTGCCTATTCCAACTGCATTATGAAAGGGTTTCTGCTTGTGACTTTCTGTTTCCTTAAGCTATAAAGGATGATAGCAGGATACTCTGAGAACTCAACCAGCAGCTGCAGTCTCAGATAGCTTTTGCTATGGTGAAACTCCTGTGCTTGCCACAGAGACAGTCTGTCCTTCTGCCATCTGAGACCCTCCAATTAAGACTGAGGGATTTTTTCATTTTCCAAATGGCCAAGGCCACCAAACCTCTGTTAGTCCCATTACATGCATGGAGTAGTCAGTTTTTCTGACTACTTTTCCCATGCCCTTTTGTTTGAAAAGCCTTCAAACCCATGGAAAACAACGATAAACTGGAACCAGAGACACACAGGTGGCATCATGAGAAGAAAGAGAGAGAAATAGTAAGGCAATGCATAGGTGTTAAAATGAATGCTGCATGTGGGGACTGAAAGGCTGTTCTCCCACTGGTACCATGATTCTTCAGAATATCAAGGCACCAGAGGCATCTTCCAAACCCCTTTTGTTGCTTTCTCCTACCTGCTTGCATTTCACCAAATGTGGTTGCAATTTTTCCCTTTTGATGCTGTGCCAGAAGACCATCTTATCTCAATTAAAATGCTCTACAACACTTTAAAAACAGATGATCTACATCACATGGTTAGAGTTCTATGTCCACTTACTTTGGAGCCCTAGTTCACTGGAACTGGACTCACTCTCACTCTCCATTTACAACAATGTTAACAACTTGCTGCATCTGTGACAATCCTCCATCCTCCCATGCTCTTTATCAGCTGCAGAGCTGTACCAGTGAGTTTCAAGCTGGAATAATTACCAGTTATGTCCACTACTAGCTTGAAAAAATAGCTTGAAAACAAGTTACTTTCTCTGTGAATGCTGTTAGGCTGCAGCTACCAACAGTGTTTGATAGTCTGAAAAATACATCTTTCCTAGCAAAAGATGTGTCCAGATAGAGCAACCACCATGCTGTGTTGTCACCAATTTGTCTGCCCAGAATTCTCTCACACACTGCTGTATATTCAGTCACAGAAAAAATGGAGTTATTTTAAAAAGAAGACAAGCACTGCTATTGTACAGCCTAGTTCAGAGTCCCATATCTTGAGCTGATTCAGCTTATCTGCTTTTCTATACCTTTGACAAATGCACGTCTTATATCATTTTTTTCTTGCCTTCCTCTGTATACCATTCTGCTTTTCCTCCATGTATCTTATCTAGAAATGATGTGCTATTAATCAGCCAAAGACACCCTTCACTGCTAAGTGTTCCTCAACTGATTTTTCATCAGCACAAGTAGTTACTAGTTCCAGCATTCCTCCCACATGCTGAAGGCTTGGCTGGGAGGGAGGAGGGATGGCAAGGAGGTTAGAGACTGCCTCACCACAAAAATACTATCTGGGACCTTTAAACCAACCTGCCAGCTCGCTGCAATGCTAATGTTGCTGTTTGTTCTCAACAAAAGGAACATGGTGGGAGGAAAGTGGGGCTGCACCCTGTCTTATTTTTTAAGTTAATAACCTTCATGCTCTTCCTTTTATCTGATTAATCTGGCTGGGTGCCTGTTCAGTAGTAGCTGAAGCTTAATACCTGAAACAATGTATGAACATACACTGTGCCAGTAAGGCTTGCTCAATAATGCACATTTCTGTCATGTTTTCCCATGCCTTGCGTCAATATCTCATTTCATGTGCAAGCCCCCAGAGCAGGGGATAGGAAAAATGAGAGGCATGGAGGGAGACAGGGAGGGAGGGAAAAGGTTAGAGAGAGAAGAAAGAAAAGGAGAGACGAAAGTAGGGAAAAATTACATCCCTTGGGAATGTCAGCTGCTACAAACTCACCCACTCCTCACCATGAAACGAGCTGTGTGCGGGCACAGGTGGGTCCCATTCTCTGTTACTAGAGCACAGCCTACAAACAGGGGCTAAATGAAGACTTTCATTGCTGTTCCCTGTTTTCATTGGAGCAAGGCCATCATAAACATTTGCAGGTGGCTTGGCCATAGTCTGACACTAAAATATTTGTGGTTGTGATAAAAATCAGAATATTGCTACAAGATGGTTCTATATAACCTTCAGGGCTTGATCCTGCTCTTACAGAGCTCAGTGAGAGTTTTGCCCAGTTTCTCTCTGCTGGCTTTATTGCTCATTAAAAGGCATTTTCCCTGGCACAATTCTTCATGGTAAAGACTCATCTACGTTTTGAGGCAGATTCAGATGATTTTTAAAAAAGGGAAACTCAACCAAAGCCCACTGATTTGAGTACCTCAGAATTTGGGTAGTTAAATGGCTAAACAATCTCAACTTTGCAAGACCAAATCAAAATGACCAAACTTTGAAGAACTCAAATATTTTCTGAATTCATCTGGAATTTTTTTTTCAGTTGTTTGATACCAGAACTGTTGTCCAGTCTGTATTCCTCATGCATGAGTCGTGGATATAATTCTTAGCACATTTAGAAGGATAAGATGATGATAAATGGAAATGACAAGATATGTTCTTTGAATAAGTAAAACAGACACCACAGGGAAAAGACTGAAGGAAAAGAAGACAACAAAGGATGCTCAACACTTTGGCAAGTAGAGGAAGTTGAAAATACAGCAATTATCTCCTAGGACACACCATGAACAAAAAACAAAACCTCCTAGGAAGAGGGAAGAATAGGGAACAGAGTATGCTGGAGGTCACACCATAAGTCTCATTCACACACCAACTCACACAGAGACTAAAATGCTGACAATTGCCTCCCAATAAAGCAGCTTTAGACCCAGACTTAGGAAACATTTGTGTGATTCAGTCACAGGGAAGAATTAAGATATGTCATGACAAAGTTGCCCAAATGAGACACACCACTGACTAGGAAAAGGCCTTTTTATCTTCAGCCCCTCCAACTTTGGAGATTCTAATCACCGTGGCCCCGAACCAACACAAACCTAAAACCTGACTGACAGGGTCTTGCAAAACCACATGCAGTTTTTTTCTCATTATATAGAAACAATTGTTTGCAAGCCAAGTACAGTCTTACATAAAACACCTCACCACTGAGTATTAAAAGTTGTTTGGGGTTTTTTTATGTTTTTAATTAGGATCATAATTACCACTAGACCTATTAAGTCACAATTTGAACAGGAGCTTAATCATCCTTAACGCAAATAATGGCATTAGTTAATGTTTTTCTTTCTAAAATTGAAAAAGAAACTGTTTCTTCCTCCCTCTCTCCCAGTCCCCTGTCTTTGAACAGAATGGGACATATAAAGGACAATAAGTTTACTGGATTCACAGGCAAATGGTATTCCAAGGGAAATCTCAGTGAACATTGTGTTTTGTCTAGATGTAAAATATACAAAGGACACATCTATCAAACAGGTTTGTCTGACCCATCCTATCAGATTTATATTTTAGGAACCAAATCTTGAAATAGTAGTAAAAAGGAAAATTGAGGAGCTTGTCCAGGAGCACAAAACAAGGGCAGCAGATGGAATCTGTGTTCTGGGCATGGCTGGGTAACCCAGAGCTCGATGCCATGGGCCATCCCAGCTACCATGGGAGATACAGAGCCTGTGGCCTACACCAAGAATATTGAAAGAAATCTCAAGAATAACTGCATTTTCAGTTTTCAGTGACAGAATTTCACTTTTTGGTTGTACCTTGAAAAGACTGAATGTTGATCATCAGTTATTTAGGTAATGACTGGGGACAGAGACTGCTTTTGCATTTGTAATTTGGTCACATCACTTAATTGATGTGACCAAATTACAAATGACAGATAATGAATCCATACTGCTGTTTCTTTCTTAGTCCACTAACATATCTTTTTATCCATACATTTTCACGTATAACCCTGCCCAAATTCTCAGAGCTGTGTGATGAAAATCTGTACCCTCAAGCCATCAGGGCAGTTTCTGTACAATTAAAAACAAGTTATTGTGACTTATGAGAATCTCATACTTGCTGGAAGTAACCAGGTGTGCTAAACATGGATGGTTTTGTTCACACAGTTCTCCAGACATTAGCATTAGCATTGGCATTCAAGCCAATACAATAAGCATCCATACTGTCAATTTATGGTAATAAATATGGATCCATCATCACAAATTGAACAGCTGTTCACACTCTGCCAAACTCTATTTATCTTGATGGTTTTTTGTCTTCCATCATTCCTCATTTATACAGAGGACATAGGAAATAGCTCAACCCCATAGAAAACCCACAATTCCCATTGAAAAAAGTTAAAGGATCAGCTTCACAAACACTTTGTCTTTCTTCCCAGAGCAGTTGCAAAAAAACCATGCACTATGATCATAAGAAGATTTTAAAAAACTGGATGCAGAAAGCAGGACTTTCCAGTAACTACAGCATTCTGTCCTTTTTGAACCAAGGTGCCATATCTGGAATAACCTGGCCATTCCCCACAGTCTGCAGCAGCTGCTGCTCATCTTGACAGGGTCAATGCAAACCTCAAAAACCACTAGAACAACATCTGGTCCTGCATGCAGCTGGACCTTAAGATCCATGAGGACATGAGAACAACATCTGGTCCTATGGGCAGGAGCCAGAGAAGCAGAGAAATGAGAAAATGGGAATGGACTCACCCGATCTGCCGATTTGTGGAAGGTGCTTGTGTAATGACAGAACTGGACTGTGGAGATGGCATGGCTTGTTGAATCACAACGCTGGTGTCGTGGTTTGGCATCCTTGTGTTTGTCAGCTGGTGGGATCCAGGTCCTGCCATTGCTCCTCCAACTGTGTTATGCATGGAGATATTCTGTAAAAATAAAAGAAATGGGAGATGATGGAAGGAAATGAAAATAAATAAATAAATGTCTTATCTTGGTTTTTTGTTCTACAGGAATTCTATTAGAAATCTGAAAGTATCAACAACATGAAAAGTTACAGGCTCCTGGTAAATCCCAAGTCGATAGATCTTGTTATAACCAACAACAATAAAAAAATGAAAAATAAATATTTACTTTCACAGGGCAATATAAATGGAAAAAGACCAATGTTGACTAATCACTCTTCTGTGATTCTGTCTTGTGATTTATAATGGGGATATTTAGCACATATTTCTCCTAACTGAACAAGATATGAGCACAGGACACCTTGATTTACTGCATGGGCTGTTTACTGTGTACTGCATCTGCTTAGACTGACAAGCAAATCAAGTTTTACAGTCCCAAAGTAACAAACAGCACATGGCACATCATGAAACAGCCATTTCTATTAGCCTCCATAGATTTTGTAGAGCAAAAATATCCCAGAGGCTTAGAATAACACTGTATTTCACCACATATAACCTTTGCTTCAGGTAACTCAGAGCTCTTAAAAAGTTCTTAAAAACAAAAAAAGAAGTTGACAGATAACTCATACCCACTGAGCAAACAACCAGCGAGAGACCAGGATACTGCTAAGGAAGGAGCCATGGAATAAGACTTCTCTCCTGTTCTGCCTGTACACACAGCACACACTGCTGCTAAACCGCAGGGTTTGACTTGGCCTGCGTTTAAAAACAAACAAAACTCTCAAGCCAGAGATAAGCCACAATGTATACATATGAAAAATATGGCAACCTTGAGAGCATTATTTTCCCTACCAGGCATCAACGTGTGAATTGTTAGCAACAAGATGAAAAGAAACTTTACAATGTCACCTCGTGCTAGGCTGAGGAAAACGGGGCCAAAAAAACCCTCATACACACACTGCCACTGAGACTCACACAAAGCACTTAACCACTGCAATATTCAGGATTAAAAAACAAAGTTCTATTTCATTCAAATTTCTGATTTATGAGTCAATTTGTCTAGGAAATATACACAACCACCACAAAACATTGATAGATAAAGCTGGTGAGAAAGGAAGCTCAGAGCTCTGATCAAATGTGGAAAACAGAAGGGGCATACAACACGTTGAATCCCAGACCTAAAGAAAGATTTTACTATGAGCCAAATAAAGAACAACCCCTCATGGAAAAAGAGAGCAAATAATTAGAGGACCCCAACTGAAGGCATTATCTGTTATCTCTTTATCTCACAATTTTATGTATTTCACATGATTTCCCAGAACAGAGAGGACACAGGGATCTCTTGTTTCTTTTTCAGGAACTGTTCCAGTCTTCATTAGCACATAAAGAGGCAGAGGTGCTATATACAGTTGAATGGTTACACCACCTCACCTGGAATGAAGAGGAGCCAGCTTTGAGTTCCTCTTCCAGTAAATAATGTATGAATCAGGTCTAGAAGCTCCTTATTCACTTAAGTACTTGCTTAAGGAGCATGAATTGCAAGAGAAGGCCAGACCAAGGACCTTAACTGTAATATTTAATAGCACAGTAGTATGTCATGACCATCAGGCAATAACCTTAGATATAAGAAAACTTCTCCAAAAGAACTTCTCCTCACCTACCACATTCCTATTAAAATGTCACTTTTTCAACAGAATACTGGTTTCTGATGAAAAGCTTGTTCAGTTTGAAAAAAAAAAATACAGCCAAATCTAGTTCAGGTTTCAAACCTGCTTTTTTTATCATGGCCAGATTTTGCAAAAACAGATCCAATATCTATCCATGTGCAGTTAATATTTTAGCACTATCACCTCCTCAAGTGATCTCTAAAGGAAACCTGTATAGTGCCATGAGTCTACAAGACCTGGGAATGGACAGGATGGAAACCCATCACAAGCCTTAGACAAGTGGTACAAGACGTTGTAGTTGTTATCTTACATGCATAAACTTCCAACACCGTTTCAAAGTTTTAACTATTTCCAATAAGCCACATCTTTTCAAAAAGTAGGCTGAGTATATGATGCATGGAAAGTAAAAGCAGAGTGAAAACCTGTCAGTGCTTTCAGATGTCCATTCTTCTCAATAATGTAAGCACTGCTGTTGGGCAAGCGTATATCATGCTGCCAAGTGACAGCCTAAGGTTTCCCAACAAAATGTCAAACTCAGCGTGACTCTGACATTCATAAGAAAAGGATTTGGCAATCTCAGAATAATTTACATCAGTGAGATGCTTGTGAATCTACAGAGAAGTCCAAGCGAGTTCATACTGTAAGGACAGTAAGTAGGCTTTGAGAGGCAGCAGGAAGGCAATGCACAGTGGATCTGACACCAAGCCTATCTGATCTTGCTGTATGCATCATGACATGCAGAATGAGTCTATATCACCAGCACAGCAAGACTAGGTTCACTGCACGTGTGATGCACCCAGCCTTCAGAGCTCCCAAAATGGTTTTGCTGTGTTGAGCTCTGCATCTGATTCTGAATGGATCTGGATAGGATATTAACAAGCTCCTTGCAGAATTGACTTTGGGCCCTTTTAGGAAGAGGAAAAATTCAGCAACATTGGCTGAAACGGAGACATCTACTTTGATGTTTGGTTAGGTTTCTTCCAGCTCTATTTTCAAGGAGTTCTTCATGCTCTTCCACCAGGCATCCAAGAATATAATCTCCTTTGACTCCACTTATCATTATCCTCCAGCTCAGCTCTTAAGCCAATGGTAAAAACTGTTTGACACTAGGTGTGAAGCAACCAGCATTCCAACTCAGAGAAGTCTACAGGAGCAATGACACAGACTGAGCTCTCCCTCTGCTTTTAACATTCCCAAGACCCATCCACACTCTGAGAGAGTATGACACCCACACACACACACAGAGTTTTCTCAGGTATCTTTTCTACTGTGCTTAAGCATTAGAAGAGAGCTTATCGTTATTATCTATTTTATTAAACTGAACCTAAGTGTTCACACAGGGAACATGTCCCGACATGTCAGGAGCTGCAGAGACACAAAAGACATGCTCTTAAGATTAATTTTGTCAATCCTAATTAAGATCCAATATATGAAGAGGAATTTATGTCCTTTAGGACTGCGTTTCATCCTCACTGAAATTTCCAGTCACTCCCACGGAAGCAGAAACTAGGATTATAACACTGGAGAGCTTTTACAGAAATGCTCCCCTCACCCATGTGCTCATGCAGTACTCTCCATCAGTATTTAACATTTAAACAAATAAACCAAAAAGCAACAAACCATATCCAGAAACCACTTTTAAATCAACATGCTCATCCTCAACCTTTCCAGCTGCAAGAGGAAAGCACACAGACCATCATCATATTAATTTCTCCCCAGTTACATTTCATGGCCCATTTTAGATTCAGACTTTGAAGAAAACATTTGAGCATTTTTCTCCCACGTGCAACCGTTTAAGTTTGGATAGACAACACACTTCTTTTTTCTAAAGGCTTATAAACTTCTTGAAGTCATGCTTCCATGTTCTGGTGGAGAGGATTACACATCACTCCAGCAGAACACACACCCTGTTGGCAAGCGCAGCAGAGAAATGACAGCTACGCAGATACAGGCAAAATACACCCAGGCAGTCACCAATTCCCCTAAACTTTGGTTCTTCCAGAGAAACACCCACCCATTTCACACAGCACCACCTCAAGCCAACCACCATCTACTGAACTCAAAGGATGATGACAACTGGTCCATCCTTTACCATCTACTGTAATACTCTGAGTTCCAGAGTTTGTTTGTGGTTTTAAACTATAAGATCTGGTTTCTGAACTAAAGCCTGGTTTTGTTTTCCTACTATTATTTTTTAACTGCGAGGCTTACCAAAAATTGCAAATACCAGTTTTACACAAACTGCAGACTATTCAGGATTGTTCTATGTAAGCTTTCAGATCAACAGAGCTATGACCTACAACCAATTGTACATAAAGGTAGTTTGCAGACTATTATATCAATTGTCAAGTCATAAGGTATTTTCCATTTAAAACTAAAATAAAAATGCACTTAGTTTAAATACAAACAAAACCACTTTTTGCACATTTTTGTTTTATGCAAAATATAATGTATCTGTATTTTGCTGCACAGCAACTTAAAATATTTTCACATAGTTCATGAAAAAAGTATCAAATTAAAAAAAATATAGAGAGAAATCAAATATTCAACAGCACTTTTTAATTTATACAGCCTGTCCTCTCAATTAATATATTTTAACGAGGACAACTATTCTAAGACAATACACATTTAAATGGCAGCTTCATGTGCACTTTTAAGAAGAGTACAGTCGTGTCTCGCCTGATTACTGAGCTACTAACTTCACAATATATAAAAGACAAATGAGTGGAAGCCTCCAGTGACACACTCACTCACTGCACATACTGCTTCCACACCAAAGAACCTGCCAGCTTAAATACCTGGAAGGCATTGTTGTAAAGAAAATTATACATTAAATGTGACAAATAATGGCAGACTTCAAAATTATTTTAGTCATATATAATCTCCATCAAAATTACTGAGCTTCTATGAATTCTCTCCTGACAGAAGAAAAATATAATCTCAAAACAAATGTTAGCAAGTCTCCCCAAAAGCAGCACCAATTCATTTATTTTCTCATTATTCAGATCAATGTGGAAGGAAAACACCCTCACACCAGCCCACCAACACTATTTCATCTGTAACTGGCATGCAAAATCTAAACTCCTATAAGCACAGAACTAAGCTTACTGCTCACTCAAGGCCAGTAAACACAGATGAGGAACTAGGGAAGAAACCAGAGATAAAAAATGAACTATGTTACTAATGCAATTGAAGGTTTATAAGAAAAAGAAAGTCTACTATCAAGATTTAAATTTAAAAAAAAAAAGGAAAAAGTTCCATTATTCAAGAGATGGGTGAGTGTAAACTTGGTGGAGACTGAAATGCAATACCTTTTCCTCTTTTTTTAAACTGTAACATCTGTAGAGCTTTGAATGA